TAAATGAATGAACAAGTGAATGGAATGAACCATCTTGGCAAATTGAAAGTCCTCAGAAGGCAACCCAAAGCAAAATCCAGAAACAGAGTAGAAAGGGCATTAAATAGAACAGCAGGTAGTTGTGCCCAAGAAGAGCAAGGGATGTCCCCCAGTAGTGATATGCTTTTGAGAGCAAGGGCAGGTGATTGTAATGTAATCACCTGGATGGACTGGGAGCCAGGAATGGCCACAGCACGGGAAGCAGTGCTGTGAAAGATGGTAGGCTAGTGATCTAGACTGGCAGTTGCTGTCAGCTGCCATTGCTGCCACTGCCAGCATTACCCTTCACTGCAAGGGCAGAAGAAGACAAACCAGGTCTGATGGCTACTGCCGAGGTTCCTCTTGTCACTTGGTCACTCCACTCATTGAACTCATTTATGGAATATGGACTCTGAATCAGACCCCATTACGTGCTAGATTTACAGAGGCAAACTCCACCCGTTAGAGGACTTAAATGCATGTCAGGAATGTTTAAGCAATAGGAACTCTTTTGAGCTAAGTTAATGGGATTTAGCAAAAGAACCTAAATACCCACATAATCAAATTGAGGCCCTCAGAATTAAACTGACACCGACACATCTGGCATCCAGAAGGGACATGAAGGGCAATTCCAGTGAATCCAGATTGTAAGAACAAATGGTCTAGTTCTTCAGCAATTTTTCTTTTCAGAGAAAGAGTCCAACCAACCTAGTTTGATGGTTTTGCCATCAGACATGTCACTGTCTCTTTTCTATGACAATGTTAAAGATGCATACGGACTAGCTATTAGTGGCCGTGTTCCCAAAGTTACAAAGACAGCTCAAGTTGGGGAAAGAAAACCCAGTGGAAGAGACCTGATGACATCCTGGTCACCCTCTGTAATTGCTGAAACCCTCTATGCTCTGGCTCTTCCCACAGTTTGGTTATGCAAACCATTAAATTGCTTGATTTACTATAGTTAGTACAACCAGTACATTGTATGTCTGGGTTTTATGGCAAATAATCACAGAAATCACCTTCACTTGGCTTCCTCTGGCCACTTACATTGTTTTCAGCATGGAAGTTCAGTGAAATTTGTTCGTTCTTTCTCTTTTTCTTTCTTTGTTTCTTTCTTTCTTTGATAGTAAAATACAACAAAGCACTATAGAATAAAGCCAATCAAGACAATGCAGTGAAATTGATACAGAACTTCAGGATAACAGTAATAGATACCATAGTATATCTTGTTATCATCACAATAGTTATCCATTCAATCAGGTATAGCAAAAATCAAACCAAAAACAGAACAGTATAAAACCAATCAAAACCGAATATTGAATAGAGCAAAACAGTCATAACAAAGCAAAACAGTGAAAACAATATTGGCCTTCAAAAACAAGATAGAAGGAAATCCCGAATATTTGCTGTATTGCTTACTGTCATCCTCCCAAGAGATGCTCAGACCTCTGGCTTCAGGTCAGCATAATAACCCAAACAATACAAGCACTTAGTTGCTTTATGTGCCTTAGTTGCTATCAACTGTGGCTGACCTCAAAACCACCCAGTTGCTAAGGGGAGGCACGGGACATTTGATTCTCAGCCTGCACGCCAGTAAGTTCACAGGACACAGTAACTTATTTGCTTCCTGGTGCATGTGCAGCTCACACCACTTACAGAGGCTAGCTCGTTGCTTTCTTAGTTGGTCCCCCAAATTCCAGCATAAGTGATCCTCAGGAGATGCTTACTTGTTCTCTCCCTTGGCGCATCTCAAGCTGCCCAGTGAAATTTTTGATATCTCTGAGGAAATACAAATTCCATGGTCTATGGTTGCATTGGGTTGCCAATTCCAGAATTAGAGCATCCTGTCTTACTTAATAGTTGTAACTTTCAACTCACTCAGAGTTCCCCGCATTAGAACTCAGTACCTGTACATGTGTGGCCAGGAGAAGGCAGCTGCTGACTTGCCTTTTTACCTACTTCTCCAGTTTGCTGGCTGCTGTTTCTGAACCCTGGGATTGTTGTGGGAGGGAGACAGAGAACATGGACCGGAAAACCTGGGATAGTGTTTGCATTCTCTGGACCTGCCCGTGTCTACCATAGCTCTTATGGAATGTGGGTGCTCTTGAGGGTGTTTTGGAGGTCCCTGTCAGTGTTGAGGGCCTTGCCTAACCTTGCCGGTTCACTCTTGCAACTCTTGGGAATCCAGATGACTGCCTCTTCTTTGGCACCTAAGGGCCACTGCCCTACAGGCAGTGTTTAAGGAAGGGTCTAAAGACCCCATCCTAGCTCATTCATGCATCCTGTTTTGCTGCAGACTCTGGGATTGCAGACCAGCTCTGACACAACTCTATTCTACAGCCCACGAGGTGGGAGGCAGGTTCCAGGCAGTCTGCGATGGTGTCATACTCTAAGAGCTTTATGTTAAGCTTCTCTGGTCAGGCTGGAGTGAGAGACAAGACTTTCTATTCTGCCTTTTAAGGGAAGTGGTTCATAACATAGCTTCCCGAAAGAAAGTTTTCAAATCCTCTCTTCACCTCTGACAATAGATTACTTTTATGGTTGAGGGGCAATTAGAATTATATAACAAGTTTTCAGGGTATTTCCTTTGAAATTCTGTATCTTAGCTTCACTTTGGTATTACCTTAGAATGTTGACCAAGCCTTCCTTTACGCAGTGATTTGATTTAGATTTATAACTTTTGTGTCCAAGTAATCCTAATAAGAACAGTCAACAGATATTGATTGAGCATCTCCTATGTGGTGCATCCACAGCTTGCATTACTTACAAACTGTTAGGTGCTGGCCAAATTTTGCCCATGCCCAGAGCCATGTTGTGGCTGGTCATATAACCACAACTTCTTGAATCTCCTGTCAGTATTTAGAGATTGAAAGATTTTACTTTAAAATTTAAAAATCTTGAAAATTCACATGTGTAGTGCTGTGCCTGTATTGCTGCCTGGCAAGTTAGCTAGAGCTGAGAGGTGCTGTCCTTCACCAGCACGTGCCATGGGCTCCCTTCCCATGGCATGGGTCTGGCACTGAAGCCAAGAAAGGGTCGACTGAAGAAAGCTACCTTTTCCTAAAGAATAAAAGGGAATGTTTCTGATACTTGTGTCTCTTCATAAAAGAAAAGGTCATGAAAGCCATGAAAGAAGGAAATTACTTTAGAAATTCAGTGTTTTTATTCGTTGAATATGTACTCAGTGTGTGTATGTAACATTCAAAAACTTAAGATACTACATGAAAATAAACCAATATAATTGTGATTACTGTTCAGGAGGTGTGACTGTGTGAATTGAATAAGGACATTGCAACGCTTTTTTTTTTTTTTTTTAATATAACTTAGTCTGTGGTGTGAGTTGCTGTAAAAGGGTATTACATTCTCCTGTTTCCTTTATTTGCATTAGGATCTTACTTGGCCCCTAAAGTTTGAGTTTGTCTCTCTGGAAGAAGTTTGCTGGAGGGCATGGGGTGCATTGTGCATCCAGGAATCTTGCTTAGGTCTGAGGAGTAGTGGCGTGATGACTGCCACAAGGTTGTCACCACATGGGGACAAGCCTGGAGTGACAACGTAGAAACATTTAAAAAGTACTAAACTGTTAAATTGGCTTTTTTACAAATTGAGTTTTTAGCTTTTAAAAATGTGTTTTTCTTACTGCTTTCTATGAGTTCCATATATGTTAAAAAAATTCTTATCTATTTGTGTGAATCAGAACAAAGCCAGAATTATTTTGAGCTGGGCTTCGCTTGCCCAATGGGATTCTCTTGGGAGGCAAGCCCTCCACTGAGTTATGTGTCCTGGATGACATCTTTGATGCTAAGTAGAGAATTTGCTCTCTGACCACAGCTCAGCTGATTATGAAAACCAGGTGCCTGGCCTTAACTGGCCTTGCAGAATGACTTCTGTGCAGTGCTTATCAGTGTGTGTAACTTCCCCCTCTAGTCATTGCTTACTGTAGCCCAAGTTCCTCGAAAGCTTTGCTTGCTGGCCTTTCCCATCCGTTTTTTGGTTGTGGTATTGTTTGATCTTTTGAGTGAACCAGGCCAGCTGAGTACTATATTCATAGGCCACTTGTACATACACACATCTCCTTATACACAGAGTCACTGAGCAAAGTGTCATTTTCATTATACAAATACTTTTGAGGACGTAGGAAATTTCCCTCAAGACTTAGTACTGGAAATAGGTGCAATTCTGCTTGTTTATTTTATGGACAACATGAACCATGAAATTAGCGTTTTGCACTTAGTTTTAGCTGTGGAAAATCTTGGAAATAGAGATGTAACTGTAACAGGCACACAGGATATTTACTTGGTATTCTGCTTCCCCAAGTTGCTGGTTATTATTTTCTATATGCTTTCCCCTCCTGGCCCCCAAGGCCCCTTTTTTAAAAAAACTTCAATACAATTTTATAAAAAACTGCTTCAGCATCACTTTAAAATGAGGCAAAATATTTAAATGTTGATGACTTAGCATTTATTGCAAACGTCTTATTGACTTGTTTTTAAAATTTTATTTTAAATTTCCTATTCTTTATGTAATGCTTTCAGTTCTTTGTGATTACATAGATTTGAAGAGCACTAGATTGCCACATATTCACCTCGTAGTCATCCTGGCCTAGTTAGCAAATAATGCGTGCTCAGAGCTAAGTGGAAGCAGAGATTGCTTCCCACCCTCTTCCATCTCCAGTGTCTAGTTTTGTGGTTTAATAACAGTTTCAGTTTCCTCATTTATGCAAGAAGGAATTCTATCAGAATAGTACAAGTTGTCCTAGAAAACCTGGGAAATCCCCTTGCATTGAATCTGAATCTTCAAAAAGAGGTGTTCCAGAGATGATTTGTGTCTTGTTTAGTTGTGGATTACACTTTGGTTCGTTTTCTAAAACAGCTGAATTATATTCTTTTCCAAGTGCTCTCCATCTCTATGCTCTAGGTATGGGGACTGTAATGTGCTATGTGAGCAGTAGCTTGACTTCTGTGATATTTTCTGCTTTTCTTTTTCAGAGTATGATCGGTTGGGCTTCCTCCTGAAGCTGGACTCTAAACTGTGAGTAGAACGAGAAAATGCCCTAGCTCTATGGTAGAGGGTCTGTGAGATTTGGGGGTCTTACTTTAAAGGGGCACCTCTGTCACCCCTGTGGTTGTGGGGAACCCCTTGGTGTCTCTGTCCATCAGGTTGTTAGCAGAATCTTTGAGCATGTTACAGTCCATGCTTAGAAAGGATACAGTGGGGAGTACAAACATGAGCCCCTTGATTTGGCTAACACAGCCAGCTAGCTCATTATAGGAGATCACTTCCAGGGGCTCCAGAGACAAGGAAGCCCTGGAAAGGTTTCTCTTACTGAGTAGAAGGCAGAGATTGATGCTTTTTCCACCTGGCATGCAAAGTCTTCTGTACTCAGTCCCCTGTCCTCTTCAGCTTCAGATCTTGCACTTCTGCCACAGGTTAGTATTCTTTTTCCCTCAACTCTTGTTGTAGGTGCCTGTTACCTGTGCTTCGAACTCCCTTGCTTTCCTAGTCCACTTGGAAAACTCAGAGATCATTTTCTCCCTACACAAAATTGCCTCTTCCTCTACGTCCCCTTTAAATTTTCTTTGTTAGCAATTATCTCATTGTACTATAATGAATTATATACTGGTTATTACTTTATTAAGGGCTTAGACTCAGAGCCAGGCAAAGCTTGGTTCAAGTTCTGGGTTGCCATTTATTCTTTTTCTGATTTTAGACAAGCTTTTTAACCACTTTGAGCCTCAGCTTCATCTGTAGGATGAAGATATGTAACAACATTTTCTGAAGGATTTAAGGATTTGATTCATATGGGGCTTTCAAGTATAGGCTATCTGATCCAGAATTCTTCCCTGTTGTGGCCTTCATGGTCTCTCTAGTACCTAGTTAGCACAGATATATGTTTGGTGCTCAGCAAGCACTGGGTAGATGGATGGATGGACGTTGGGTGAGGAATTGTGCACTTTGACCAGCACCCCTCGAGTGTTCTTTCCCTACAATGAGACCACTCACATTTAAGTGATTGTATAACTCCCCTACCACATCCCATGACTTGTTTTGTTTTGTTTGTTTTTTGTTTTTTTTGAGACAGATCTCACTATGTAATTCTGGCCAGCCTTGAACTCACTCTGTAACCCAGCCTGGCTTTAAATTCTCAGTAATACTGCCTTAGCCTCTCAAGTGCTGGAATAACAGGCCTGTCCATCACACCCAGCCCATTAATGCCTTTTTCATGGTTATCTTTGTGTGTCTGTATTCCCTGTCCTGAACAAGACAGACACCATGAAAAATCAGAATTGTGTCTCTTTTCCTCTCCTGCATAGGCTTCACCACAGCTTCTTCAGATGGTAACAGTGACACATACACAAAAGACCTTGAACTGAGGACTGTTTGATTTTCCCACTGAATTGTCTGACATCTGGTCCCATTTCCTAGAGCCTAGATTCTTGGCTGTGGTGCCTTTTATTATATGTTCAGATGACATAACTCTGCCTTTGTATATCATGTAGGCAACTATGAAGGAAAATGGTCTGCTCCTTTTATCAACTAGTAGAGAGACGTCAGCCATCTCTGGGAATGGGGTTTGATTGTACCAGAAAACCATAGACTTCCCCCTTAGAAAATCCTTAATGTAGTGCTCTGGGCAAAGAGGGAAAAAAAAGTATAAGCTATAAGCAAGTGAAATGCCACCAGAGCAGAAGAGATATAGTAATTACCAAGTTGAATCACATTAATAATGAAAGATATGTTGTTGAGGACAAGACTGCAGTGCTTAAGCTGCCTTCAGCAGTGGAGAACAAGAAGGGTGCATCTCCCCTACTTCTTGACAGATGAATAGTACACAGTGGAATTATCAATTGTGTAGGTTGGTGTTGTGTACCAAGCCAGTTCCATGAAATATCTGAGTCAACCGGGTATTTGGAATTGGCTTGTCTCCATCAATTTAACTCATGATCTGAGGTATGAACTACAGCTTTTCTTTCTCTTGCTACAAAGTTTTTCCCTATCAGTGTTCTGTAGAGAAGAAAACACAGGTAAGTAAAAAGAGTTTCTTCTAGGGAGAAATTTCAAGTTAAAGAAACTGCTTTTTAAAAATTTTTTTTTAATTTTTAATTTTTGGTGGGGTGGAGAGGATTCATTAGCAAAATTTAGGTCTCTAGATTTAAATTCTGCTTCTACTGCCCAGTATTAGATGACCTTCGATAATTTTTTTTAGCTTTCTGAATTCCAGTTCTTCTTTGTGAAAAATATAGACAATTAGCATTCACTTCTTACAGTTTTATGATATATAAAAAGGATTATGTGTACTATGAATAAGAATACAGATGTAAGGATTTCTTTTTATTTATCTTGATTGAAGTTTATTTAACTTTTTAAATATAAGAATCCATAAGTTCTAGAAATTTTTTAACTATCTTTTAAATGTTCTTTCTGCTTCATTCTGTCTTCCTTCACTCTCTACTCTGTTCAAAACCTGATTAAATTTTAGACCTTCTTGATCTTTAGTTCTATTAATTCATCTCCAGTATTTGCCACCTTTTTTATGAAACTGTAACCCTGAAGGACTCAGTGTAAGGATAAACTAGAATTAAATTTATAACCCCAGGCCAAGACTGTAGAAACAATTTCCAAGGCCTTGAGTGAATTAGGATAAATAGTTAATAAATAAAATAAAAGCAGTTGATATTCATTGTCAAGGTTCTCATCATTTGGGTGACCTAGGGAATCTCAAGCCACTGAGATCAGTGTAAGCTGTTTGCCACCAAGCACTTGGCAGAGGCAAATCCAAACCCCATCTGGAAAAGGACATGAACTCCTCAGAAATAACTTTTTTTTTTTTGGCCTTTTTGAGACAGAGTCTCACTATGCAGTTTAGGCTGGCTTTGGGCTCACTTTGTAGCCTAGGTTGGTCTTGAACTTGCAATGAACTGCCTGCTTCAGCCTCCTAAATGCTAGGATTACAGGAGTGTGCCACCACACCTGGCTACAAGTAACTTTTTAAGGAAGTAAGTGCTTCACAGTGAAAAATAACTAAACACACATGGAAACAAGTTCTCATAAATGAGAACCATGAAAAACAGTAGACAACAGAGAAGAACTCAACAAAGATTTCTCAAGTTAGAATTACTAATGCCTTAGTTACTTGCTCATTACTAGGAAAAAATACAGTACCCAGCACCCAGAAATTAGAGTTTTATTGTCTCATGTTTTCAGGCCATGTTTTGCTGGCTATGAGGCAGAATGGGCAGAGGGCAGCAGCTCTCAGTATGGCAGCCTGGTAGCAGAGACTGAAGAGACTGCCCTTGCAGTAACACAGTGTCCTGCTCCTTCCAGCCAGGCCCTACCTTCCAGAAGCCTTCAGTTATGTATTTATCAGTGTTTTGAATCTGGTAAGTGTAACTCTGCATGATCCAATTACCTTCTGAAAGCCCCGCCTCTGAAACCATCAGATTTCTGGAGGACTTTCTAGATCTAAACCATAATGACCAGACACACTTTATAAAGCAATTATATGTACTAAAAGAAATAAAAGACAAGATTAAACTAGGGGCATAGAATAGGGAACTATGAAATGTAAAATATTAGATTTTAAAACATCGAAACCTTTAGAACTGAAAAGTACAATGGCAAAAAATCAAAATCAAATAGGAACATTAAGCAGCAGAGTATGTACAACTGAAGGTGGTCTTAGTGAACTGAATATAAGTAAGAAGAAGTTGTAACAGGGATCAGCAAACTTCCTGAAAAGGGCCAAACAGTAACTATTTTAGGCTTCAGGGACTTTTATTAGCTGTCACAGTTGCTCAACTCTGCAGTTGTGATATGAAAGGATCCATAGATCAGTGAATGTAATTGTATTCCAGTACCACACAGAGATTTTAATTTTGTGTCATAAAATATTATGCTGCTTTTTTTTTATCCCCCTCATACTCAAAGACTTTAACTTGGGTTACAATGGGATTCCTACAAAAAATAGGCAGTAGCTTGGCTTTGGCCCACAAGGTGTAGTTGGCTGTCCACTAATTTTTGTATACAGTCAAAGGGCAGGTATTGAACCCAGGACCTTCAAACTGGCTATATCCCCAGGCTTTTTAAAGTTTTTATTTTATATTTTGAGACAGTGTCTTGCTAAATCCCCAAACTGCCTAGATTGGACTCAAACTTGGCTTCCTACCTCAGGCTGACCACTGATTGTGAATGGAGCACAGCTGTATCTCATGAGACTCATTTCTTCCCTCCATGAGGTGTTTTTTCCTCTTGAAAGTGTAAAAATAGTGTCAAAATACCTTTATGTCTTATAATGTTCCAAAAGTTTAGAAATAGATAGTTTTCAACTTTACTATATTCTTTTAATTATATATAGTAATATAAGGAGATTGGTTATAATAAGTAGTTATAATAAGTAATTATAAGGAGATTGGTTTGTGTTTCCTTTGAGATTCCCTGCTGCTTGTATCTATATTATAAAATCACTTGTCCATGCTGTGAAAATTCAAAAAACTGAAGTTCAAAATCTTGTCTCACGACTGTACAAAATGACATTTGGGAAGACAGTGTGTTTTGGTGGTTAGAAACATAGGCCATGGAGTCAGACCTGGAGTTGCATGGACTCATTCTATACTTGCTTCCCTAATCTTGAGTGTTATTTAACCACTAAGTCTCAGTTTCCCACTCAAACATGCAGATAAGAATCATAATAGCCAAAAGATGAGATTTGATTGTTTTTACTAAGCAGTGTCTGTTAAGCTGAGAAAGATACAATAAAAAACAATGAAACCAAGACTCAATTTTGTTCTCCTTCATAACCAGAGATTGCAAGTTTAAGTAAGATGTCACTGAGAAGGTCACGTTTGAACAGAAATTCAAAGAAAGTGAGGGGTTAGTCCTGTCCCTTACCTGGAGGAAATCTCAGTCTCAGGAGCAATATAACACCTTAAGCCAGGAATGTGTCTGTTAGCCCAGGGAGAGAAGAACCATCTGGACATTTCAAAGGAACCAGATCTAGTGTTCAGGTATGAGCCTTCTGGGCATGGTTTCAA